TCTCGAGCCTCAATTTTAATACTGCTTAACAGCAACACAGCCAGTACAAAAACAAGATAAACAAATAGACCAACAGAGATAAACAAGAAAGCCCCGAACATTTTTATTTATATATTTATTTTGCTTTTATTTTATTTTATTGTTTACAGCAGGGGTGGCCAACAAAAGACCCGCGGGCCGCATGCGGCCCGCCGGGAGTCCTGTTGCAGCCCGCGGAGTTAGATCAAATGAACGTAAATGTTAACTTTATTGTACATATCTGCAAAAAAAACATTATGTCATGAGTTATTCGTATCATGTATTTTTAAATTGTAGCTAAGAGAAATTTGAATATCTCTCATTTTTTGAAAAATTCATAGATTTTTAGCTATTTCAAGTATCCCGCTATTTGACACTCAAGGTTACTTAGTTTTTTGCCCAACGCTAGGTGTTGATAAAATTTAATATGAGACTTCAACTTCAGCTGTTTATGTTCTGTGGTCTTTGGCGTTTTCGAGAAACTCGCAATGCTATCGGGCTCATACCCATAACTATTTTCAGTCCAGTTTGACAAAGTTCCGTGTTATTCTGTAGTTTTATTTTATTATCGCTAATGCATCTGGAGAGATTTTGCAATCGACGTTAAAATACATATTTAACATATTTATAATTACAGTTCAAACTACTTTAACCAACTAGCCTGTCTACCATATCGATTCTATAAGTAAATAACCCTGAAAAGTTAGAGAAATTCCATCAAGTTGGTTTGGAAGAGTTCTATGAAACGTATTTAGACAAGGATAAATATCCTGTATTTTACAAACATGCTCTGTCATTGGTTTCGCTATTTGGAAACACTTATGCGTATGAACATGACGTACTGTACATCAAACCATAAGATCACAAATTACTGATGTTCATTTGGAAAACTGTTTGGGTGTAGCGACAACATCAGTGGAGATCAATTTTCATGCACTTAGTTTTATAAAACAAATCAGATGTCTACCTTTTAAATATTTTTAAATTGTCTAATAAATATGTTTGATTCTTGGTTATGTTTTATTTTCTTCAAAAAAATAAATATACCTAATTTTTGTATTTTTTTACATTAAACCAGGCAAGTGTTTGACCACGATCTCACCTACTGGGAAGCGACGATGTGGTTAAAGCTGTTGCACGCTTGCTTGTTTACTTTAATTTACAAAAAAATTAAAGTAAACAAGCAAGTGACCCGGCAGGAAATATTATTCTTGAAATTTGGCCCGCTTTCTGAAAAGGTTAACCACTCCTGGTTTAGAGCGTTAAGGTACTAACTAATGAAACTATCTTACCATAACCTAGGACGAACTTAACCAGACGACTAAAGCTAACAAACCTTAATCTAAATTAACATAACTGGAAACCAAGCTATGAGTCCTCAATCAAACTTACAATTTGGACTAACCGAATTTAGACTGAAAAAAAAAAAACAGAAAATAAGAATTAAAATACAAAGTTGAAAGACAGATATATACCGGCAGTTAAAACAAAGCAAGAGAAAGCTAATTGCCATTCGTGCTCCCTAAGTGAATATTCTCAATTGCCCCGCTAAGAGATATGAATGCGAGTAGATGATGGAACATTGTATGTGTGTGAATGAGTTTGTGCGGGTTGCAAAGTAAGTTGTACCCTTCAAGAATAGCAACTTTCATTAAGTTATCCCTAATGTGATTGTATCTATTTCAGCGAGGAACTAAGTAAAATGCTGTTTGGTCCTGTTGAATACTACAATCACATTGTGGATTATCCCCAAAGTTATATTCATGCAAGTATTGCTTAAAGCTGCCGTATTCTGTAAGTAGCTGAGTGAAAGTGTAACTAGATTAAAAGTGGTGAAAAGTCGCAGTGTTGTCAAACTTAGGATGAAAGTGTAAGTGAGCCTACCAGTGGTGTCATAGTCCCAGCTGTCTTGCCAGAGAATGAAGATTTGTTTTTTGACATGATTGTTGATATATCAGGTAGGAATGTAACTGAAAATACTAGTGACTGAAGACTTTGCAGCTTGTTTGGCAAGACGGTCAGCAGTGTCTTTGCCGAGAACCCCACATGTCCCAGGACCGATTGGAAATCTATTCTAACGTTGTTGCCTAAATGTATGAGAATGAGGTGTATGAGGTGAACGAGTTTAAAGTGAATATCAGACTTCGCTATCCTGTATAACGATACCCCACTGTCAGAATAAATGACATAGTGTAAGTAGTGTCTTTTGTCTTTCCTATGCCGAACGTGAATTAAGCTCTTGTAAGTAGCTAAAGTTTCCACCTGTGCTATTGAGCAGTGTGTACCTAGATGGAAGCAAGTGTTTTGTAACTCGCGGCCTAACTCGGAGCAAACTACAAAAGTGGAACATACATCATCATACATCTTGGACCATCAGTGTAAAACCTAAACATGGGATGATCACCTGGATGTTTGAAGTAATCATCAGGGGCAAGCTGATGTAAGAAATTATAATCGTAAGTCGGAAGAGCATTTTTGTCAATGCTGAATTTTTTGATATCATCGATCAAGGTAAAACTGGGGTGAATCTTGCCTACTCTAATCATTTTGTTGCCATCCAAATCGGTATTATCTCTCCAGGGTAAGGTGACAAGATTTTCTTGCTAAATAATGTGTTTAATATTTAAGTCGATAGAGGTCAACCCTAACATTACCAAAAGGGCACTAATGGGTGTAGTCGCATAAGTCTTACAAATTTGGAGAGATTCAATTTTTTAAACAGATAACAGTTTTTATGGTTATGACTTTGGCAGTCATGTGGCTCCAGACCTGTACAGCATAGAGTGATGGCTGAATTGCACCCCTGTAAATAAGCTTAGTAGCATTAGGGCCAAGGTCACATGTATTCCTAGCAATACTGATGAGGATGCTGGCCGTATTTTAGCTTTGTCCGTGATGTGTTTGATATGGGACGTGAAGTGAAGTCTCTTGTTAACAATAATTTCACAAAATTATTTAATTTCCTTTGTTTGTCTTACTCTGTGAGCACCTCGAAAGGTAAGCTTCATGACGAGTGGCATGTTCCTACCAACTATCATGCTTTTCACTTTGTTTGTGTTAATGGTTTGCCAATGCTTAATATACTCCACTGGTTAATGTTATTGAGAATGTCTTTGCATATGTCTTCTAATCGTTCACTGTTCCTGTGTGAAGCTAGGATAATTGTGTCAACTGCATAGCACTGTATGTGACAGCCAAGAGGCAGAGTGTCGTTTAAGTGCAGAATATATTTATAGACTATATTCCAGAGACCAGGACCAGACATGGGTCACCGAGGACAGCCTCAGGTGATGGGTATGACTATAGTATGTTATTTTGAATTGTATAAACACCTGCACTCCTGTCGATGAGATAGGATTGAAGAAGTTTGTAAAGAGTTTGAGGACAGTGATGAGCATGTAATGTGTGCAGGATAAAAGGTCACCAGATGTGATTAAAGACACCTATAAAGTCAAAAGTAATGATTGCAGTATGCTGATTGTTTTTTCAGTTTGGAAAATGTAGTTAATAACCTGATGGATTTCATCTACTGTACTTTTGTGTTTAGAGAAGCCGAACTAATTCTGATGCTGAGTTCTGTGCTTGCGTAGTTGCCATTTGATACTATTTATCATTAGACCATCTAAAACGTTTCCCAAAGATGGGAAAAGGCAGATAGACTTGTATTATTTGTAACTGTTAGCGCTGGTGGATTTGGGAATCAATTTGACACTAGACTTTTTCCACTGAGTAGAAAAGTCGCCAGTGTTCAATCAGATATTGAAGATTATTACAAAAGCTGTAGGATTGGTCTCAAACGCGTGTTCTATCATCCTAGTGCTCTCAAGACCTGGCGCTTTGTTATCAGTGACCAAACAGATGGCATTAGAAACCTATGTGGGTGAAGTTGTAGTCATTGTCTGTATTAGATGGTGTGAGTGTAGAACTTTTAATGACCGCTTGTGTATTGTCATCTGAAGGGTAAAGGCTAGTAAAAATGTGCGAGATAGTTTCTTGCGTGCTGTTGGTGTAGCGACTATCAGGGAGATGGTTAGTGAGCGTGTTTGGAGCTAGTGTTTTTCTTTACAAGATAACTAGTACGGTTCAGACTAGGGGTTGCAACCGCAAGTGTTGGTACAGAAATCCTGCCAAGTGTTAGTCCTTGTTTTATTTAAAAAGGTTCTGTAAGTGTCATGTTTAATCCTGTACAAATCTCTAACGTGGCTTTAATGTCCGGGTTCTGTTCATTCCTAAATTGCCTACTTAATCTCCTAAAAACGTTCTTCTTGTTTTCTAGCTCAGTGGTTCACCAAAAAACCATTTTGTGTTTACAATGTTTGAGCAAGAATTGAACATGTGAACAAAGTGCAAATCACGCATACAAAAATTTCAAAATTTTTTAAAGAAGCAATGTCACCAGGATAATAAATCAGAAAAATACGCATTATTAGAAAAAAGGTTTTGAGTGTTACTTTCCCCGTTAATGTTGCTGCACTTACATAAATTTGTTTCAATATTAGAGCATCTTTGAGCAGTAAGAATGAAAAAAGTTCGACGTAGAAAGAAAAGCTCAAAGCTTTTTCCTGCCACGATGCTTATTTTTCCGACTTATGATCATGGTAACAATTCTCTATACAAAACTTTCAGTAGCTGTAGTCCGTGTGATGTGGATTTTATTGACATATTGAGTGTTACTGTCAAATCTGGTTTCACTATTCTTCTGCCACAACTTTGAAAAATTTCATTTATTTAGTTGATTTTGCTGAACTTTAGTTTTTCATCTTCGTTTCATTAATTATGTTTTATTAAATTCAATATTTTAGACTGTGAATTGTCATATTTAATCCTATAATATAAACCAATAACGAATATTTGTAATACGATAAATGAAATTAGTAACAACATGTGTAGTATGGTAAGTTACATGATATCGAAATATTCCTTTCCGAAGTTAATAAAACTCTTTATCTTAACAATAAAGTAACTAAATAGAATTTACATACCAACAGGATTGTTATCCAAAAATGATATCGGAGTTCGAATGATACAACGAAACATATTGTTGTGCAGCTTGAAAGAAGCAATTGTAAAAAATCTGTATACCAATAATCCAGAAGCTAAAGTCGTTAGAAATACGGCACATGTCAATCCAATGTAAACATACATGTTGAATTCTTCACTGTGATAAAAAGTTTTGTCCTCAATGTTGTGAAAAATACTTGTGTTAGATGTAATATTTTCGAAATTCTCTATGCTGTGGCTATAGATTCTTATATCTCGCAACCTAGAAATTAAAAATAAAATAACAATTACACGTTGTGATTATTTTATTTCTTCAACAGAATGAAATACAATTAAATTATTTAGTGCATTAAAGAAAGAAAATACATATAAACGATGTTGTCATTTACCGAATGATTATAAAGTAATATATTTGCATAAATACATAAAATAGTTTCAGTAAAAATTTAAGCCAGATTCCTATCATTTATAGTGAAATGCATAACTGTAGACGACATCGCCATCTCATACCCATGCGATCAATTCTATTACAGATTAATTTCGCCTGAAATTACTAAGCACAATTATTCTCACACATTGACATTTCTTCAGTTTGCTAAAAGTCTGCTAAGAAAATAGAAGCTGAAACCTATTACCACAGAGCTTGGCATTGAAACAAGATATCGTGTAAATGAGATTTTGTTTAGTTCCAGATCTTAAAGACCATTGCATTAATGGAGCAGTGTAGTCAAGATGAGATTATTACCGATGTGTTCTGATAAAAAATGTTTGAAACATTTTTCAAGATTACAAAAAAAAACATGTTTTCTTCACAAAAGTATGAAATAAATCTTTTTAATAATCACCACTTTAACGTTTAAATTTATAATCCAAAAATAAATTTACCTGGTTAAGATATGCACTTGAAATGAATATTCATAAATTCTTTGAAAAATATTTATATCAAATTCAGATATACAACTTAAAAAATTTTATGCTGACATTTACTTTAAATGCCAAATTATAATATTTTTATGGAGATATTTAGAGATAAGAAAAACATATTCATTGCAACTCAAAAAAGTTTTCATTCATTATACATGAAACTTATTATCATAGTGAATTAAATGTGGCTTACATAATGTAATAATGTTTTGATTAAACGTTTTATATGAAAACACAGTTCACGTGTTATACTATATATTAATTATAATAATATCTTACCATTTGATTAGCCAATAGTCGCTGGCACATGTAAGGGATTGCGCTATAATTAGCGTGGATAAAATAACAATCTTGAAGAAAAGTCCCGCTCCGGCATTGACGTATGATTTATAAACTGAAATTCCTGGTTTCTTGACTCCTTCTTTGTCACGTGGTGTTCGGTTATTTTTGGCTTCCTACAAGGAATAATCTTTTGAAATATATATAAAATACAGTAGAGCGTCAATTTTCCGAAAGTCAATCATCTGAAACGTCAATCATCCGAAAGAATTCCAGTCGGCAAATTTAAATTTTCACCAATGCTGTGGCGCTTCAATCTTTGGCTATGTCTTGGGCTACTCAAATATTTTACGTTTTTGATACAAAATTAACATCTGAAGTATAATTTTTTATTATTCTTATAATTTTCAATATATTTATTTTGTTTGTACAAAATAAAAAATAATTTTTAACGATTTTGTAGCGAAGTTAAGATACCTCAAACAGAGTTATCTTAACTTCGCTAATAGGGATTAACATCCTTTTCGGAGATGTATCTTTGTTTGAGGAAATCAATTAGAACAACAAAAAGGTGCGTGTATTCCAAGCTCGATAAACTAATTAAGGAGGAAAATATTCTATTCGGGCAAAATATATCAGAGTTACAGAAAGCAAACAAAAGGGCCGTTATATATCAAAAAATTTTAGAGAGGAACCTGGCCGTAAAGTACAAGAAGAAAATGAATTGGTTTTAAAAAAGCAGAGACCGCTTAGGGAGGAAGTACCTATAATCTCATTAGTATGGTGGGATAACATATCTCCACCTGATTATCTGCTTGACACCTTAGCGAATGGCCCAATGTACACTCCAGGAACCCCAAAGCTAATATTGGATAGTGTGATGCCACATATAGAAAAGATGATCGTGGGCATGAAGGACACCCACAAAGAATATTACAGATGGAGAGCCACATTCGAAATCTGTTCCGGCCGCAACAAAATGCAAAATGTAGGATTTTGGCGATGTTTACAAAAAACCAAAAAATGGTTAGCCAGGGAAGGCATCATCGTTTTAAAAGCGAACAAGAGCAGGGCATTAGTACTCTTAAAAGAAACCACCTATAGAAGTCTGATGCAACAATACATCACCGATACGGAATGCGAGCGATTGACGACGGATACGTTTACAAACTATAGGCTCGAGTCAAACGCTTTACAAAAACACCGCTTGCCAGGGAGGTAAAATTGAATGGGGCGGTGGTGGCATCACCAGACACACCTAAATTATTCGCCTTTGCGAAAACACAAAAACATACATCTTCTCTTAGACCCTTTTTGGACAAGGCCAGGTCTCCAACACAACTTCTTGAAAAAGCAGTTCATAACATTGCATCAGACCATCTGAGGGATTACGATCTAAACGTCAAGAGCCCCAAAGAACTTATAAGAATATTAAGGCAAACACGTGTAACGGAGTTGGCCCACATCACAGTATGTAATTTTGTATCATTATATCCTTCGATCAAATTGCAATCATGCTTTTGCGCTCTAAGAGATCTCCTATTGAGCAAATTTAGAACACCTACACATCGCAAAAAGATCTTGGAATTAGCGCATCTTATGTGTTACAACTCTATATTCCAATTTAACAACAAGACCTATTTACAAAAACGAGGGGTACCCATGTGCAGCCCGCTGTCTAGCGACTTATGTGAGTTGGTATTACGTAGATTGGAAGAAACAGTCATACCAAATCTAATATAATTATTTATAAAAGANTTCTAACAATTGATGTAATAAACTTTACATACTCTCCTTTAAAAATTATGTTTAAACTACAAGCTTAACAGCGTTGTTGCAAATTAAATTCCCCCCTTTTCCCCCAACCTTGCACGAGACATAAATTAATGAAGAGTCAGAATATAATTATTTATAAAAGATATGTGGACAATGTCTTTATCCTGTGGAAAACGAAACCACACATCAATGAGTTTTTGAACCATATGAACAACAATCCATACGAGCTGACCCTGAAACTAGATCAATTGACTACCACCAACGCACACTTCTTGGACATCAACATCATGCTCAACAGTGGAAGTATTGATACGGGTATATATTATAAACTCAGCTACTTCCCATGGTTTATGCCGGCAAACTCAGCGGACCCGTACACTTATAAAATCGCAGCATTCCGGGCGTTGGTTAGAGGAGCATTTACGCACCCTTCTAAGTGGAGTGACACGATAACTGAGCTACAAAATTTAGAACGCATTGCAGTTGCACATGGATACAAAAAAGAACTAATACGAGGACTGGCAAATGCCTATTTACGAACACATCAAACACAGGAGGCACCCATTACTCAAAATGCTAATCAAGATCCAAACTGAAGACGCAACATCGTTGAATACAGCAAACAATTTCAAGCGTTATATAGAGAAATTGCAACTAAAACGAACGCCAGAGTAGCATACCGAAGAACCCCGAATATATATCAATTAATACGTAATGCAAAAGACAAACAGAACGATCTTAGTGCTCCGGGGGTATATAGTATTCCTGTGAGAAGTGATAGATTTAAGCAAAAAATAGTATACATCGGCTCCACGAAGCGTTCAATCCAACAGAGAATTAAGGAGCACAAATATGACATAGAACATGCTCGTTACACCACTGCACTATCCACCTACGCAACCGACCCGGATATTCACGCAGAACTATCAAAAGCCAGATTAACCTGAAGCAGACCTCGACTGAAGCCGAAAACGTTTGTTTTTACGAATAGTTTTCAGGTACCGGACAATAAAGGTTTAGTAAGTACGATTTTATCAGAATACCGGTATTCAGATTAAAAGGTTTTTGATTTGCGTATATTTCCTTTAGATATACGGTCTGATGAATAAACAAGAAATAGTGTTTCGTCTGACCTTCCTATTTTCTTTTAATCAGCGTTTTTAAACTGCAGACGATTTATATCTGCAGTTACAAAGAAACCGTCTGCACTTTCATGATTGATTTATAAAAAATTTTTCTACCGATTTCTACAGCCTGTAATTACATCTTCACACCATGCATTCAATTACGGATTATTATATATATATTTTTTGCAACTTTGTCAAATCTGATATATAAACTTCCTGATTTAAGAAATACTTCAAAAGAACTGTAGATGTGTAAAACTAAGAGGTAAAACTAAGAAATAATTTTTTTCCTAAAGCGTTTCCTGGATACTGTTTTCCTTTCCTCGAAAACATTTTATAATTCATTGGAGTGTATAAAGACTTATCTACAAATCTCGCGCGATACTTGCATTGAGGAACCCTTTCTCTACACTTCAGGGCAATTAATTTTTTGATTGGTGTCGGTACTGTCTAATCTTTCTCCATTTTATACAAATTTTGATATGACCTGCTAAAAGTGACTCGCCTTTTATATGCAGAAAGCGTGACGTAAGGAAAGGTATTAAAAATCTTAGAAGAACGAATTTTTCAAAAAATCCTTTCTGAATGAACTTCATTGCAGTCTGTTGCCAGAGGCTGCAAGATTTGCATAGCAATATATTCTGAACTAATGAAAATTGTGGTGGTAAGTTATTGAAATAAACTTGTTTATTTACAATAGGAATTATTTGTAGCACTTCGTTTAATACGTGCGCAAGTTTTCGTAAGTTTCTGAAAGTTTAGATGGGAAAAAAGTGCATTTCAAGAGAGGTTGTACATAGATTCAGATTTGTTGTTATATTTTCAGTTTAAATATATAGTTTAGCTATAAGCTTCTATTAAACGAAGTTTATTTGATTCTTAATCCAGAATCACAATAATTCCTAAATGTTTAAATTGAATGAAAAATCCGTATAAGAACAGTATTAAAATGTATTAAAATATTTCATTTCAACTTCTAAAGTAAGTGACAAATTTGACAATTATTTTAAATCGGAAGTAATAAATTGCCATTTATTTGGAATATCCCGCAGTAAAACTCAAATCCTTCGTATCTGATTAAAATTGGACGATGAGTTTTCCTCTAAATATACAACATTCATGGAAAAATTGAAATGGCTGAGATGTTAAATGATTGGTCGCTGACAATCACCTGCGACAGACAATCTTCATCTTGACTTCTTTAGCCTGAACATCAGTAAAACAAAATATTTAAATATATTCAATGAAGGCATGATCATGGCGGAAGTACGCATGGTCTTGGGTATTCAGAAAATGGCAGTTGAGCTAAGAAAACGTCAAACAACTTTTTATCTTCGATGTACTATACAATCTATTAAGAAGTTACTAGACTATTACGATTTTCAGGTTTTTTTCAAAACTGACAATGTTTAAGAGTCAATTTTTATTTATTCGACAAAGTCAATACAATAAATGAACACATTTTGAACAACCATTTCAACAAACTTAACTTTAGTTATTACTTTTACAAAAGTAAAATTTTTTCTGCAGAGCCCATCGATCCTTATCGGATCGAGAATGTGAAATCTAATAAAAGCGAGAAGGGAGCCTCCATTTCTATCAGACTTATCGAGGGCCAGAAAGATAGAACTCAGCAAAAGAAAAAATCGAGAACAAAGAGACGAATGAAGTGGAGATGAACAGGGAGTTGCGGGCAGGGAGTTGCGGGCCCCCAAAAAAAAGTTTGAAAAAAGAAGAAATTCATGCGGAGGAAAAAAGATTTGTCAAGTCGGTATTTTCTGCAGTTAAATAGGTATTCTTTCTCATGAGAAGGACCCGAATTGCCGATTTCTTCAAATCTGGCCTTTGCCAGTTTTGAAGAAATCGGCAATTCGGCTCTTTTCAAAGCCATTTTTTCCCTTGGTAAAAAAAAGTTAAATTGAATCATTAAAAATATTTATTTATCTACTTAATTTTAAAAAAAAAATTCATCGTATGTCAAGCATTTAAAAAGTATATTAATATAAATTTTAAAATGTTCGATTGATTCTAACATTTATTCAACGAAGAAGAAGAGAAAGCGTAGGTTTTTGTAAATCAGAAAGCGTTTTCGAAAGTCAAAGCGACTACACGACCATTAGGCTGTGTACACACTAGGCGTTTTTAAACGCGCGTTTTAAAGAACCAAGAGTTCTGCATAGGCATACACACTCAAACGCGCGTTGATAGATTTTTGTTAAAACGTGCGTTTTGCGGGCGTTAGCCGCGCGCTTTGAGATATATGTGCTGCCATGTTACTGTACATTCGATCGCGCGTTTTCGGGTAAAGTGAATATACGTTGGCCGAAATGGAGAACGATCATTTCGATACTAATCTATTTATTGATGAAATCTAAAAGAGACCAACCATTGTCAAATGATTTTATAGATATTCTAAAAGAATTAAAAAACTTGGGTCTATATTGTCTTAGTGTTGAATACAACGTAACAAACATTCCATGCGTCAGTCTATCTCCTGATATTGGGTGCACCCAAAATTCTCTTTGCCTTTGTCATCGTCTTTTATAGCGACGATGGAGGAGGGGCACACAAGCAATTACTTTCACGTCCATTTCCAAACTGAGCCAGTGCGTACGCTCCACTAAACGGTCGTCTAACGCCGAGCTAACTCGCGGTGTTTACGGTGCTAACGCGCGTTTAATGCAACGCAAAACGCCTAGTGTGTACACAGCCTTAAAGATAATTTTTTGAAAGAATATTAAGCACAACGCGACAAGATGGATGAGGCGACAAAACCGGAATTTATAATTCCATCTAGACAGTGACTTTCAACCGTTCTGCCGCGAAAATTATGTAAGTGTGCTGCGAAGATTTTGCAAGGTTCTTAACCCGTCGGCACGCGCGTGCTCCGTAAAATTTAAATTACGCGCGCTGGGTCAAATAGGCACCAATTTAAAAAATTAATTAATAAAAATTTAGCGTCGAAAAACGGGTACTTTTACTTTAATCCAGTTCTAAGATATGTTTGTAGTCGAGTTTAGTCAAAAAATTTTAATTTTGTTATAATTTTTTGATGATTTTAATTTTTTAATATTAGAAGGTAATTATCATAAATTACAAAGTGTCGTGTTTCATCTTCGCTCCCGTTCAAATATATAGTCCTAGATACGCGCCGATGTTTGTTTTTACTTCTACTGATGTTTTCGCTTTTATTTCACCCTCGGCCGTTTTGGTTATAGACGATGGGGAGACGGGCGTCACGTGATCGCTTACCTCACTTTTTACCACAGAAATTATTTTACCTCGAAAGTTTTATTTTTTTTCTCGATTTTAATTATTATTAACTAACTTTTTTTGATAGATTATAATATATATGTGTTTTCTGAAGTTGCAGATATTTTTTAAATTAAGTTTTACGCATTTATGTTTTTTTATTCGCATTTTATATATAAAATATAAAAAAATTCAAAAATTAATTAATTGTTATCAGAAATGCTAAACTATAAGTACGATGTGTTTTACAGTACTATTGCGAATAGATATAGTCAATTATTTTGTAAACATACTTATTATTTTAATTTTTATAAATTATTTAATTTGATTCAACGCGACGCGCTCAAAATCGATTATTTACCGTCGCGCGTTATTTAAGATGGCGGCGGGACCCGATTTAATTACTTCTTCATTTAAGATGTTAATTAGAGAGTGCTATTTTAATTAAATTTTAGACATAATGTATGTTTATTATAATTAATAAATTCATATAAAAATAATATATATTTCTGACTGTAGTTTAAAGCTTACATGCGCAATGTAACGGCAAAATATATAAACCAAATTAACGCAATTTTTTTATTTTTACTGATATACAGTAAATGCTTAAATACTCGATTTCTCTACTATCTAACAGTATAAAATACTTGTTAAAATATAGAATTTATATTTAAATAATAAAAATTCTATTTTTTTATTTAAATTTATTTAAATAAAAAATTTATATTTTTTAAAATTTGATTTATAAATGCAAAAACTAAACTTATAAAATATCAACTCACTATAAATAACTTCAACTTTCCTTTATTGACATCAGATTTGTTAAATTTCACGGAATTGTGCTATTTTTCAACTCTATTATTTATTCTCTGGAAAATAATAGACTCTAATAAGTCTTACTAGAGTCTATTATATAAACTTACTAGTCTTCCACTGTGAAAAACAACAAACTGCTAAACGCTCTATTACTTTGTTTTCAAAAACTTCCTTCTCTGTCAGCCGAGGGTCAAATGGTTAACAAATTGGTTACTTCCACTCAGGGAAATGTGATGGTGTCATAAAACTTTATAAAATGATTAAAAAATATCAATGAAAGAAATTAAATTATTTTCGGTCAAATTTCAGTTTTTTAGAAGTTATTCGCTTTATAATAACGCGATTATAAGCGAAGAAGCGCGCGCCGTAGCTGCAGCTATTTTTAGTAACAGCGACTGGCGGGAAATTTAAAAATTGAAATCCGAGATCACGCGCGCCATAGTGCCGATTCGGCACCAATAATTAAATAAAAATAATGAGACGCTTTAAGCAAAAACTGAATTGCGCATAGTAAAATTGAAGAAAAATTAGACCGGTAATAATTTTTTCAGATTTTTCACACAATTAGGATTTTTACACGAACTAATTAAAAATCGATTGGTGCCTAATCGGCACTAGGCGCGTGCCGACGGGTTAAATAAATTATTTTCGAAAGAAGTCCGAAGAACAATAAGTTTACTTCTGAAAAGTAAATCTTCTTTAATTTGAATATAAATGATTTTCATCACAATTATAAATAAACCTAGGCATAATACAGTGGAAACATGTATCTTTATAATATTCATCGTGTACAACTCTCGGAGAAATCAATCCGAAAAATGAAAACTGATGAACATCAGCTATTCCATTCTGAAATTTTTTACTTAGATAAATACTTAATAAATAATTCTTACCTCATTACACTTGTTTCTGTCTTCAATGTCATCATTCATATCACATTGAAAACTTCCCATTCTATCCTCATCATCATTAAAAACCGCACTCTCTAAATCAATGCTCTTCCCAGAGACTTCTTCTTGTGGTAATATTCCTGTAAGCGTTTCTAAATTTTCCAATTGTTTAAAATTTCCAATAAAGTCACGTTTCCCCTAAAATATATTAATCGAGTATATAAACACAATTGCCTGTATGTTTTTTATATATAAAAATATTGTATACCTGAAAATGTACACAAATTTAAATTCGAAATGTTATCACTTGTTTACCAATTTTTACTAAATTTATCCGTAACAATTAGTCAGATTGCGGCCGAAGTTTTCCTCTCTAAAACCTGAACGTCGAACGTCGATCTCGTAAGCGGCTCTCGACGTTCGCCGTCACGGTTTAGAGTGAAAAATTTCGGCCAAAACCTCGCTATAACTTATTACTGATATGTTCACAAATGAATTTTTAGACTGGTAATGCAATTCCTATTCTATATTTACTTCCGTACGTAGAAAGAAAGACAATGTAACTGTTTTCAAACTCACAAGTGTAAAGTAAATATAAATCACGAAACACTAGTTTTTGTCACAGATTTTTGTTTAACCCAAACACTAGACTGATGCATTTTTTCACAAATTTTCAACACGTATTTACACTGAAATAACTGTCATTCTGCTGAAAATAGCCCTCTTGAATTTTTTTGATACATAGCCCTTAACTGGTATCGTGGGGGCTGCGCGGCCCCCCAGAAAAATTTGCCTGTAGAGAGCAAGTTTGAACAATGTGACAGTTTAAAAGTGCATAAAGGCTAAACAGAACACTCGTTCAGTATAATCAACTCTTATTTATTCATATAATATTTTTTACTTAATTACTACAAAAGATCACAAAAATGTTACAACTTTTGGAGTTTGATTTTTTCAACAATAAAAAAAAATCTACCCTATTGTAAGTTTTTAACAAAAATATTTTTTTTCTTATTATTAAGAAACTAATCTTACAAAAAAGTATCTCTTATAGCTTCTAACTATCATCTGTTAAAAAACCACAGGTAATATAATCACTTCTACTTTTAAGGCTCAGGAACATTTAAACGAATTACGTAGTTCAGTCTTGACAGTTATCGCATAGTATTTTTGTGGTACTATGCACTTTGCAAATAAATTTCAAACAACTGTTGCACTTAGTAGCATATTTACCATCTTTCTTTCTAGCACAAAAATGACAACATACTTTTTTCATGAGATTTCGGCTTGATATAGCAAATTTTATAACATTATCATCTATTAGCAGTTCAAATGATTCTTTGGTAGTCATTTTGAATTTTTGATGCAAGGTTCCGATATCTTTTTTAAAATAATCGAAAAAATGAAAAAAACATAAAAAGACATATCCACAAAAAAAACTAACATAACTGGTATCGTGGAGGCCGCGCGGCCCCCAGAGAGTACGTAGTTCCATCCTGGTAAGTGCTACAGGGCCGAACGTTTGACACTCGCTAAGAGTCGCGACGTAATGAGATTACATAAAATGGCAGCTGTACACGATGCTTAGATTTTTAAAAAATCGTAAAAATACGACGAGTAGGGCCGCGCGGCTCCCACAAAACCAGTTAACAAAATGGCCGATAAATAGATTAAGGATGTCGTTATTGTTATTACCGTAAAAAGTAATTTACAAAACATAACTAATAAAAAATTAACGTATTCACCTTCTTTAACGCTAAAATTTTACACGCAGAGTTTAAAAATTGTATTTGGTGCGTAACTAGAATGCATATCTTGTCTTTCAAGTATTCCATTATACACCTGAAATAGATTAAAAGTTAAAATGTATCGAAATGTTCAAATAGTATATTTTAAATAATTACTTTTCGAAGATATGTTTTGCCACTGGAACATCAACAGCACTCAGTGGATCATCCAGGAGGAAAATATCAGCATCCACATATAGCGCTCTGGAAAATACAAAAATATATGACAATTAATGAATAAATAAAACCATTATTATTGTATCGTTTAATAGTGTTTTCCGTGTGTTATGTTACGAAATAGAAGAGAAAATGTCAAATAAAGTATAGAACACCAGCACACGATGCCCCTATTATCAGGTCACAAAATAACCAGTCTAAAGTGGTTTATGCGATAACCGAAAAATATTCTATTTGTTTTACTTTTAACAAATACACCACGGGGAATTTAAAAAACATTCCTGATAAGTGAAACAATATATATTTCGGGTGACCCTTTTTATCAGTATGTAATCACTAAAATCAAAACCAATATACTTATAAACAATATTTGAATACTTATAAACGATATTTCATTTAAAATGTATTTATTATTGCGGTATATTTGTCTTATTCCTATTAAAATTGTACTTTTATAATTTCCACACATAGAAATTTAATTTTAGGAAAGACCTATCTTACCTTGCTAGATTAATTCTTGCCTTCTGCCCACCGCTCATTATAACTCCTTTTTCTCCTACAATTGTCAGATCTCCTTTAGGAAATAAGCTAATATCCTAAAAATAGTAAAAATAAACATACAAGATAATTATGTTCAACTTATGTGCATTTACAATATTATTAAAACTAAACAAAACGATTGATTTCTAAAAGTATTTGGTTTATAGATGGTGTTTTGATAGATAAATTTGTGTCTTTTGTATTCAAAATCACTATTTAGGCTAATAATATTTAATTTTATGTCATGCCTCCTATAACTGCTTTTTATTAAAGTCCAAGACTACAAAATACACTTTTTTATTTAACATTTTTTTTATTGAGAAACTGCTTGTTTTAGTCTTGATCCAATCACTTTTCGCTTAGTAACAAAGAAAGAAAACACAAGTATAGCTTTTAGGAGTAAAAATTAACTTACCTTTTCCAGAGCCGTTATATGCAAGACTTTTCTGTATTTGTCTTCTTGATATTCTTCTCCAAACAAGATATTTTCTCTGATAGTTGCGTTAAACACCCAAGCTTCTTGAGAAGCGTACGAAATCTTTCCTTTCACGGACACTTTACCGGAAGTAATTGGAATCTCTCCCAACACAGACATTAATAAAGACGTCTATCGAAATTAATGTCATTACATAATTTGATGCGAAATATTTTACATAAATTATATAAGTACATAAACATTTTAAAAGTATTTACGTATTTGTGTAAGAATATTATCTCAATTGTTAATTGCTTTTTTTAAATCGCATGTAATGAAAAGAGGTGATACAACATATTCTATAAATTCGTAGCAGAAACTCTAACATCACATTCATAAATCTGATAAGTTTGTTTGCTCATAAAATCTTTTATGAGCAAACAAACTTATCAGATAATTTTTTATAATGTTACACAAGTATAAATTATGCAATAAGAATAACTTTTGTGTTATGAATAATTTTAGAAAATTTTCTAAGACGTAAGTGAAGTGATATAAATTTCGGTGTTGATAATTTTAGATAAAATATTCATGCCTAAATTGATTATGTTAGATGAACAAAGACTAAAACGTAATTATTCACTTATACATTCAGTTATTCGATCATTTTCACTTGCTTTTAGTCAGTTTGTTTCATGTAAACAATAAACGTAACAGGAGATTTTATAATGAATAAAGCACACGAGTTACATAATACAAATACTTGTTCAACAATTTGTCTTTCTTCTGTACGTTACATAATTAAGATTTGCCGTTTTGTCTAATAAGTACACAGAATGTATATTTTATTTTCAAGAATTAAAAAAAATCCAAATAAAATCAAAAACAGATAAAATTATTTAAATAAGAGGTAAAATTATAAAATTNTATCATTCTGGGGAACATTGATATAATAAATTATCATCTTATGTTCATGATCATGTGACATTCGTTAATCTTAAATGATTCAAACTTGTTCACAGAATACAGATTTACATAATACATGGTAACGTTGGTAGAGAAAAACGATTTCATATACAAGTGGAATCTTTTACAGTTTTGCGTTGAAAAGATTTCGAGTTCGTTGTTAAATTTAACACAGAATATAGTCTATTTCGTAACTTCTCTCCTCTACACGGGTTTTCAATTTACTCAGATTTCGTTATGGACAAGTTTTAATATTTGATATCTATATTTACAATGCAGTTATTAAAATAAGCACAGCTAACGTTAAAAGTTATAAATCAGAAATATTAATAATAAACAATAAATTCATTTATGATAATGTCTCAGGCAAGCCAGAATATCACAGGGAACACACTTTCTGTCTATACAGCAAATGTGAAGTGCTCTGAGCTTCGAGACAAAAGAAATTCGTGGGAGCCTCTACGAAAATACTGTACGTACTTGGAAATACAAATTTGTTAAAAGTACGTACCTGGGAATTAATTTCTTTGAAAGATTTTTCAATAGTTTAAGGTTAAAATTCTTTTAAAACGGTTTTAGTATTTACAGCACACAAATTAAAAAATTTTCGGTTAATAGACTTTCAAGAGTTTTTTACAATGGATCACTTTTACAACTAAATTCCCAGGTACGTACTTTTAACAAATTTATCTATCGGTAAACTACCTTTTGTTACATAATTCATATTTACCAGTTGATTATTTGTCTGTAAATTAGGACATTGTAAAAAGAACATTCGGATTTTTAAGGTTTGTAATAGTAAGTGGAAAAACTTATGAATTTATGTAATATGTAAAATAAAACGCAAATTTATAAAATCTGTAAAAACGCTCAAGATCAAAACCGGATATATAATGTCCTATAAATGTATATGCTTTCTGTGTTAAAAAAGTTGTGATAATCTGAAGGTATTCTTGAAACACTTTATATAATTTTACCCTCAACAAACGTAATAAATAATTTACTTTAATTTCACTTAAAAGTATTTAAAATTGATAAAAATTAGAATAATTAATAAAACATAACCTAATAAAGTTATAAAACTTTAACATCCTGAAAAACTGCTATGTTACGTAACCGTTTCCAAGAACCGAGGATGTTTTGCTTCCTTCCTCCACACCTCGTATCTTAGAATTTTGCACACCACCTGCTCAGATGTCATAACTCATTTCTAGAAATTATTATTATGAAATAATTGGGGATAAAAGGACGAGTTTGCCGACACTCGGGGAGTTCGTTCAAAATATTGCCAAAGTGAGTGCTCCTCCTTCAACAGCTGTCCTCCGGACTCGCCACCTTAGGAAGAGAATCACCGAGATACAAGGTCTCAACATGAACAACGAGGTAAAAGTTTATTGTAAACTCTCTCTCTTTCGGGGTAGGTTAATATAACACAGAAATAGGGATAATCCATACCTAAGTACTTATCATATTGTTATTCCTTTGTGTATCCATTATATTTTGTTGCAGTATTGTTAGCAATGATTAAACTGTTAATTTTATATTATACTACTTCCGTTGTCGAGTATCTGTTCTGTATGCACAGACCCCACACAGAATCTTACCACTCGGGTTCTGAGAAAAATTAAGCCATCCAGTGACAAAGTGAGCAGGTCTAACAGATCTGACGATTAGAGGGCCTGGACCCTCGTCCGTATTCTCACAAAGTGCTTATGGTACGTCACGCAAAAAGAATTATTGATTTAACATTAAGATAATTTCTATGTTAAGCTGTAAAAGAAAAATGAATTTATGTACTGTATAATATTTTGATATTTAGTTGACTAAGGAGGGGGAGTGCCCGAAACGTGTTATTGTACTTATAACCGTATCAACTAAATAAAGATGGAATACCGCCAGATGTTCAAATAAAAACACACCTTGCGCTAGTAAATCAAAGAAATAAGACAACACGGTTTCAGAAGATTTAAAATATAAATTTAAAAAAGCCAGTGACGATCTACGTGAAAATCCTTTTAATTGATATTATGCTTATGTCCTTTTTGCACATTCTTGTGTACTAAAGGAGTCTTAATTCACCAGAATATCTGAAGTAAGCACAAGCATAATATAACTAATTAAGGACAAAAACCATATATTATCCTTCTAATTGATGAGTATTGTTATTATTGTTAATTAATCTATTTTAAAATTATCGAGTTAAACAAATCGTAAAAAACATTATTTTTATTGCAGAACTTATATTAAATTTGAAGCCATGTCTTACATTTTTCCACGCAGCTGTAACACTATCCATTCGTATCTCGTATTCGGTTGAATTTTCTCTTTCTCCTACAGTTTTCAGTGCATTGTTCTCTCTTTCTTGAAGGAGGAGAAAATCCTAAATTAAAAATTCTAAACTGTTAGCGTTTTAAATGAAAGTTTGTACACAAGCTGAATATAAACTAGGAGATTAAGTCGATTTTCGACTTCTCCGAGATAAATTACGTGCAATTGAAAAACTCCACAAATTTTTTAAAACAGCTGATTTATCGATAAACACATCTATTGATTAAGCGTGACATTAAATGGTTAAGTTGATTTTCAAACATTTTCAAGATAGAACCTTTTGCCTTATGTTAGTAAAACTTGTGCTGAATAATTATATATTACGAGTTCTCGGACATTAGAAAAATGAGTTATTATAACAGCGAACAAGCCAAAGAACCAAACAAACTAATTCTCCCTCTTGAAACTGCTGAAGAGTATTGATAATGTCAGCATATCATTCTGGGGAACATTGATATAATAAATTATCATCTTATGTTCATGATCATGTGACATTCGTTAATCTTAAATGATTCAAACTTGTTCACAGAATACAGATTTACATAATACATGGTAACGTTGGTAGAGAAAAACGATTTCATATACAAGTGGAATACTAATACCAGGATTTATTCATAAAAACTTTTGTAGTTTTGCGTTGAAAAGATTTCGAGTTCTTTGTTAAATTTAACACAGAATATAGTCTATTTCGTATCTTCTCTCCTCTAAACGGGTTTTCAATTTATTCAGATTTCGTTATGGACAAGTTTTAATATTTGATATCTTTATATACAACAATATTAATAATTATATGTTGATATCTTCGAATTATTTCTGAATTAGTATTGCTGTAATAAAATATGAAAAGAATAATTTTAAAATTGTTCGTTACCTGTATCCTTTTTAACGAAACCAAAATTTCTGCAACAAATCCCACTGCTTGAGAAAACAGAATAACAATGTTGCTGCAGACATACATTGAAAAAGTCATTGTGACGAATATAATTTCGGCATTTAATTGTCCTCCATTTAAAACGAAAGCGAGATATGCGAAAAGAGTAAATAATTTCGATATAGGATACGACAATATATACGATATTCCGCTTGCGTACAAAAACTTTCGAATCTTTTTCATTTCTTTCCTGCAAACAGAAACAATTAAAAATACAAATTGTAGAACTTAGAATGTAATTATTTAAAGCTAAACACATTAGCGTGTTTAAATTACAATAAATCATGTGTATACCGGAATCAGACCGTGTTAAATATTTTCTCCAGTTTGGGATGTTTATGCTCTAAACAGCATTTATTTTTTAAAACAGAAAAACGCTTCTGTAAATGTTTTTTCTCATTGGGCAATTAAGCGTTGTATTTCTGTTCCGTTTTATACGGATTTTAATATAGTTCCTTGTACTTACGCTCTGATTTTTTCTATTAATGCGGCGTATGGCAATTCCCAGGTGTACATCTTGATTAACCTCATATCAGCAATCATTTCATTCAACAGATTCAATCTTTCGTCTCCCAATACAGCTGCTTGTAATCTATTATGGAATTATATATATATATTTTTTTTCTTATAAAAAGATATAAACTTAAATACTGGACACATATTTTATATCTAAAGTCAATGTTACATGTTAACAAAGCCCTTTATTTTTCTAGCACTGAATATTATAAAAGTTTTGTTTATGCTATTTCAACAACTTTTTATACTAAACTCTTATGAAAAAAACAAGCACGATATGCAAATTTGTAAGTTTTATTAGATGATTTTTTTGTATAATTTCAGTGTGATAAGCAAATATCCAAACATGAGTACAGTACACATTGATTCTGTTCGAAATATACAAATCAAATTATACGTAGAAACAGGTGTTTTATAGTGTGTTTGCATAATTTAATTACGAACATGACAGTAACATTCCAGTTCGTTCACTATGTCCCAAAGACGTCATTTCGGTGATGGTCAAACATGGCTGGCAAGCCTTGGGTAGGCTAGAATCTGGTAAAGCTATTGAAAAACCTTATCAATTTTTCAGTCAATGATGTTGTAATTTCATCCGTAAACCCAATTCCATGTTTCTGGAACAGTAAGCAGAAGGCCGGCTTGAGCCGCTCTCGAGTTAGAACATTTTCCGATGACTATTACCTAATATTGCAACAGGAAGGCAACACACCTGCATTTACCTGCAAGTCTGGTTACATCTACAGGGATACTTAAAACTGTGACTACTGTAAGGAGAGATTGCATGCACATGATTTTTATGCGCGAAGACCAAATATTTTTCTTTCGTTGTTTTTCAGGAAGAGTGAAGCCGTTTACAGTTGCTTCAGGAACCAGTCACTTCGAGTATACACGATTAGAGAATGTTCTGTTAAACAATGAGTCATCATTTGCTTTACAGTCATCAACAAGCTTTTGAGTGAAATCCGACTAATTCTCGGAATCAATCGACGAAGTTCGTTTTGCTGTAGGAGGGATGGTGAATGATGTGGAAGAAAACGAATGAAACAATAACAGCAAGAGGTGTGTATAATTAAGATTTGTTAACGAACAGAATACAGGTATAACAATAATTGAAAACATAATACATTAATTTTTACAATTAAATATATACGCCTATATGTTACTTGAAATAAAAAAAGTATATTATTTTAATATGAAAATAGTCAAAATGGTTGCAATATCAAAAAATTGAAGAGGTAAATATTTTGCTTTTACTAGATTGTAAACTCAATGTTGTTATTGTACGGTATATTTACTAGGATATCGAAAAAATGTTTGTGCCTTGTTACACTTGTATGGACGAAATCCACTGAGTATCGAAAAATTGTAATTTCTGAAATAATCTGGGTACAATAAAGTTGTTGATTTGCTATTAATTATACAGTTTGTGGATATGATAAATTCTAGAAAACAACCGGTTATTTGAACCAGTTTCTTACTGAGATTGAAAAAACAGAATAAAAGCAAATGACAAATCAAATTTTTTAACATGTTATTTGCTGAAAAAACGTTCAATCGTTCAACAACACTTACGACCCGCTGCACATAATTTTCAAATATAAAATACACGTTAACCGTTGTAAATGGAATATTCTCGAAACAACTCTTTTCAAACCTTGAATAAGAATTTTTTTACGAATCTTGCAGCGTGCGATGAATTTAAATAAATTAAACGCACTACAAAAACAAACAAATTGTAACTAGATAAACTAATGTCGAAAAAATAAATAACCCAATCGCAAATATAATGAACAAAAATCTCAATTAAAAATTTTAGAAAAACGTTTTTAAAAATTATGAAAAACCAAGCAGATGAGCCCAGCGTTACTTAGGCAAGTAAGATAATTCTCGTTATAATGAAAAATGAACTGACTTGATGACAACCTTACTGAAAATAAAATGATTAATTTTACATTCTAAAATCTAAAAAAAAAACTTGTTTGAAACATTGTTCATGAGTTACACAAAAAGTGGAAATGCTTAGAAAAGTTATTAATTTTTACAATGTATACTATATGTGCCACTATTTACTTTTATTTTCTATTATTTTAACTTTATACTGAATAAAACAAACTTTCTTCTCTATTTCCCTAGGAAAATTAAATTTCCAAAAATTTCTTATTAATGTGCATTTCATTGTGTACCCTACTAAAACGCAGTTAATGTTAAAAAAAATTCATTTCAAATAGTACATTAGAAGCTAAGTTTTTAGGATAACCCTTAATCCTCTCCTTCTCCCCCCGCTGAGGTAATTTTGAAAAATCCCTTCTTATAGTACATTCTCGTAACAAACAATAACTGTGTACCAAATTTCAACTTTTAACGCCTAACCGTTTGGGATCTGCGCTTATTATTATGTTGAGTTTAGTGGTTATACTCGGTAGTCGTGGCTGTGTACTATACTGGACCAAAGACAAAGCATTAGCAACCAAAAAACTAAAATCAAATAAGTGTGTCAGTATCTGTATTCAAGAATTTCCAAACAATATGGCAAGTATTCAATATAATTGCCTTCTGTAGTGTGCTGTAGTTTTATTCAATTGTAATATTCCCAGGCTTTTGCATAGTGTGTGCGGTGTAAAACTCATAGAGAAAAAAACAATAAGTACAATAAGCACTCTACCCATATCCATATTCCACAGATGCCTGTTTCCTGCGCAATTTCTGTATACTTGCTAATTATTTCAGTAAATGTGAGTAGTAGTGATTCGACACATACTGAGCACAAAATAAATTTTTTTAAGATAAATCTTATGCACAAATTTTAATTAAATTGATTAATTAATTTAATTTAATTAATTTTATTTTAACAATAAGACAAAGTTTCTATATTAATTATTAAATGCTTTAATATTCGAAAAAATTAAAACACGACAATTGTATGAAATAATATAACACCAAAACAAAATTATTTTTGAATTTTTTTTATTTTTACATTAATAGATTAAATTAGTTTATTTTATTTAAGCTTTTCCAGTTTTTTCATTCACTATATCTAAAACATGATATATACCTGGTCTAATTTCTGATATTTTATAAAATAAAATTACAAATAATTTTAATATTTAGAAATTAATAGATTAATTTTTTTGCTAATAAAATATACTTGCTACTTTTTAACAGAATCTATATAAATGTCTATTACAGCTTCTATAGGACTGTGTAATGTTTTATGGCCAACTGTCGTTAAATAATTTCATGAATTAAAACTTCTTACACATGCTCTTTTTTGAGACAAAATTCGGCATATTTAAGTGTAAAAATATCTATGATGTTAACACCTTCAGAAAATTTGACGTATAAATTTTTAAAGCTTGTTGTCAATTCAACAAAATGGCATACTTAATTAATGTCTTATCATCTGTAGTGTGTTGTATCACAATGGTATAGTGTATTGTACAAGTGGGCATATCAGTCAAAGATTATTAGAGTTTTGCACTGCAATCATTTTGTGAAATTTTAGAAATATTCTGCAATTTTATATATTTTGATTATGAATTATTTTATACATCCAAGAAAATTAAAAGATGATTACGAATTTGAATTAAATTAATTTTATTTTAACAATAAGTTTAATTATTAAATGTTTCTAACAATTAATTATTTTTTCTAGATGAGTATGTGTCAGATTTTTTTCTAATTGAATGAAAAAACTGTGAAAAGCTTAAATAAAATAAACTAATTTAATCTATTAATGTAAAAATAAAAAAAAATTCAAAAATAATTTTGTTTTGGTGTTATATTATTTCATACAATTGTCGTGTTTTAATTTTTTCGGATATTAAAACATTTAATAATTAATATAGAAACTTTGTCTTATTGTTACAAGATATTTTATGAAAACTAAAACGAATTAAAAAGTGTTATTATTATAATTTATCCGAGAGATTTTTTATCTGAAATTATTACAAATTAATTTTATAATAACTAGAAAGAATATATTAAACTTTTCTTATTGCTAGAATAAAATAAAGATTTGTGATCGAAAAATTAATTTTGTGATCTGAAATAATTTCATTTGAAAAATTTTTATTTTCAATTTTAAAAATTATTTGTAATTTTAATTTATTTAACATCTGAAAATAATTTTGTGATCAGTATGTGTCAAACCACTACTACTAATGTGTTTTGTATATTGCTAGTGATTTGAATGGATGTCTTTAATGTAGATGATTTTATTGTGTTTGTCAGAGTTACTGCTTTATGTAATGTGATATTTCTTGTCTTTTGTAGAAAAACTCTCGCAGTGATTATATTTGTATGTGGTAACGGTTAACTATGTCATTCATGCCACGTTCGCCATCTTTACGTAGAAGAATTAATCTTTCTGTTGTGGATTTAGGATAATGTTGTTTTTGCTTAGTAAGTGTTGTTTTGATTTCATTTGAAGTTGCTCGAGATCTGTTTGAGTCCAATGTATAACTCCAAAAGAGTATGTGAGTACTGGGATGACATATGTGTTTATTGCTTTAACTGTGTTTTTTGCATTTAAATGTGTTATGGAAATAGCATTTATCTTACTTTGGTATTCCTTAATTAATCTTTGCTTTATTTGTGTATGTTCTGTTAGAATGGCCTGTTGGAATCCTAATTACTTGTAGAACTCGCCCTCTTTTATGAATTCAATAAGGTCTCCATTTCCAAATGCAAAAACTTCTTTTTTCAGAATTTATTTTTCTATGCGAAGTGTTTTGCATTTATCTAGGCAAAACTGCATTTGTATGTCCTTGTTGTATGAATAAGTAATTTACTGAAGTTAATGAAGTTGTTTTTGGGTGAATGCATAAAGTTTTATGTCGTCCGGGTACATGAGATGTAACAGCGTAAACTGTGTTGTTTTATTCATGTCTGATATTGTATCCATTAATCTGTTGGATAATGGGTTCAGGGCTAGGCAGAACCAGAGAAAAATCAAGAAATATCCTTGAAAGTTCCTTGCTTAATGAATATTTGGTTTGTTTGTATGGAAGTGTTACTAACCCTGAGATGTAGTGTTGTTCTCCAGTGCTGCATAGTGTTTTAATAGAATGTAATGAGTGATGGATATATTTTGTACATGTGTAGAATATGTAGCAGTTAACTGTGTGAAACGCTGTCGAATGATTTTCTATAGTGTATATAAGCCATGTGTATGTTTCTGCGTTATTTGTGTGCTTGACGTGGAATGACTGAATCTATGAGTAACTGTTCTTTGCATTCCCTATGATTTCTTTAGTAATTTTTTTCTTGTTCCATAAGAATGTTGTGTTCTTCAATATGTTTGTATATTTTGTTTGCAATGCAGGATGTTAATAATTTGTAGAATGTTGGAAGACATGTAATTGGTCCGTATTGTGTGAGGTCTGTGGTATTGTTGTTTTTAGGTTTCATGTAGGTGATGCCCTGAGTGAGAAATTTTGGCATGTCTTATGGATTGATGATGGTGTGTGTTCGGTGTTTAGCTAGTTCCTGCTGTAGTGGTGTAAACTTTTTATACCAGAAATTGTGAATGTTGTCTACACCATATGTGTTCCAGTTATGTGTTCTGTTAAATCGTAGCGGATATTGTCTACGTTTATTTCAGCACAAGGCATAGTTGGTATATTGTGCAAGTTTTTATTCTCCTCCTCAATCCAGCCTGCATCAGCATTGTGTGTGACAGCACTGAACAAAAGAGAAGACCAATAGGTTGTTAGTTCTATTGTTAGAGTGCTACTGTGCCGTGTCCCAGTTTTTATTCTGGTACTAATTTGTCCGTAAAAGTTTTTCTACTTGTTTGTAATTGTAAATAACTTATTTATTGTTTTCATAGTGTATATGTTTTGTATCATTTGAGTCTATGTGCTTTGGCTGAAATTTTTGTTTTAGTGTATCAAGTGTATAAATGAATTCTGTAATGTGTGTGTTGTTATGTTCATGTTTTATGTGCTTTGATTTTCATTAAAATATTTGAGTTCTTTCTTTACTTTGTTTTCATTTCATATCAGCACACTCTGCTATACCTTTTGATTTGTTCTTGGATGCTGTTTAATCAGTCTGGCGATAATATGGTGTTTGATAATATCACGTTACGAATAAACAGATATCCTACAATAAAGTTAATAATTAACACATTGTTGAACCAAATGGACATTCGCCATGATTCATGTGCGTATAATATTTATTTTCCAAACATATTTTATGTATAATTTCACACGAATTAACACATTCCAAAAATAAAAAGCATGTTTCTAAATATAGTTTTTGCCTATACAAGCAACTATTTTATTGTTTGTTTACTTAATCCTCTGGTCTTTCTAATCATAATATGGCTACAATGGATTAGGTCAGGCCTTTAATTTATTGTCTGCATATGCCGACCCTCATCTAGCATTTGCGTATCATCAGAAATTCTTGGGTTGCGCGACCGGATTCGAATCCTAGCATCCCCGATCATTTTGATAACATGTTGGCCATTTTACCATTACTAATACAAGCTAATGTAGCATGGATATCGATTAAGTACATAACATTTTATGTATTTTAAATACACGAATTCTATTTCTATTAAATTAAGTAAATAATGATTTGTTTATTTTATTTACAAATACTGTACGATTATATAATTTGAAATAATAGTTACCTCAATTTAGAATATAGTTTACTCAAAGCAATTTGTATAGGAAAATAGAGAAATATGACTAGGAATCCAATTATAATAGTCCATCCATAATATTTCCACAACATGGCTATCGAAGTAATGATGAAAAAAGGCGATATAAATAAAAGTGATAGGGAGATAACTTTCTGTAATAAATAGAAATGTTATATAGGTTATACCTAATAACTATTCATTTGATAAAAATTAATATAAATTTTAATATAATTATTTTTGAAATCATAAATTAGCCTATATAATAAACCTATTAAGCATGCATGTACTACTTTTGTTTTTACAGTACCAGACAAGATCTTTATTGTTGCAGCACCAGAGTGTTCAAGATTATTGAAAATGGCATATTACTGGATTTGTGTGTTTTCCAAAAATTCTTAAGTTATATGTGTTATCAATGTGGCAGATGGTATATTTTGTATGTGTGCATTTTGTTGCATTTTTTAATCGATTATCTCCAGTGCTTTGTCACTGTAAAGATTACAGACAGCATGTCTATATAGTTTTAAAAATGACTGATAATTTTGTAAAAGTTATAGGAATATGTTCTTGCATAGAATCATATTCACGAATACATGACATTCATATTTCAGGCATACAGTACATACTGAACTGTCCCACACATTTTCTTCTACTCGCTAAGAGTTACAAATGGATCCAAATGAATTTTTTACAAATGGATATAATTTCAGAAATGATGTCAGAGAGAAAAATTGCTCCGTTACAAAGACTATCTTTTGACAATGAATTACATTTAGATAATAACGTATGTGTGCAGGCCAGGGGTTCTGAACTGGGGTCCATGTAACATTACTGGAGTCAACAGAAAAAAACTACCGAATTGGGGATTCACGATGATATTTTAGTGGTCCATAGGGTAATTCTATTTCAGAACAATTGTTTTACTTAGAATTAAATTTGTACAATGTATACACTATATATTCAATTTATTTATTACTGATTTTTTGCATAAGGGTTAAAATATAAATTATTTAAAATATTGAATACGTAAACGACATATCTATACCTTATTGACAAAGGTCAAACAGAGATTATAAAACCGGGGTCTGTTAGGAGAATCTTATACCATCAGCCTGGTGTTACTTAACAGTAACATTTTTGAACGTTTTGCATCAGTTTGTTTCAGATTTTGAAGATTAGGAAAAAGGCTATAAACTTCAAAGGAAATCAGTTTACTTTAATCCTAACATTCAGTTCTGTGAAAACTCCATCTTGACAAAGTAAGAAGTATTAAAAGTGCTAGTTTATAAATATAGTAGTTACTTTTTCTGAAATCCAGAGCTTTAGTATTAAAATATTTTTCCAATTTGAAACAATGTAACAAAAAAAATATAAGGTTTATTTTCTGTGCAATGTATGGGGGGTTCACAAAAATGAATTAAAATGAAAAGGGGTACATAAATAAAAAAATGTTGAGAACACCTAGTGTTTTTTTTAAAACTCGTTCCACCCTGTGGGCACTAATAGGGCCTTTTCTTGCAAGCCCATTATGGGTTCGGCTAGGCCCACAATGGGACTGCCGGGTGGTGAAGGAAGGTGCCCGACACATTCGAACAGACCACCCCCTGAAAAATTGCTACGGATTTTTCGACCCGTTCAGATTCGTACCCGGGTCACCCAGAGCGGTAGACTGCCACCTTGACCGCTCGGCCATACGAATGCTGAAGCCCTGGTCTTGACAACTATACACAAGATATTTCAGGCACTGTGATAATGCAGCAATAAACGCGTTGGATTGAAATTTTTCATAGTTTGGTGAATATACAAGGAATTACATTATGTATATACAGTATTTTCTTTAACTTTTGTATAATTCCTAATATATATACTCTTAGCAATGTGTTTTTTGGTATTATTTTTATTTTCTTTTATGGTATTTATAAACAAAACAGTCTGATTATAATTTTTCTACACATATTGTATAACTCTAGATCAGTGTTTTTCAACCTGTGGGTCGCGACACCCAGGGGGGTCGTGAAGTCTTACACGGGGGGTCGCGGGTAAAAGAAAAAGACAAGTGTTTGTAGGTCCTACATTACATTAAAAAAAACTACAATTTCAGCGAGAAGGCTATATCTGTTTATATACAGTACAATTGGTTTTTGATCGACATTCAGGTCTCAACGATGGGTGTAGCCAGAGATGGGCCCGGGTGGGTACGAGCCACCGCAGAAAATGATAGCCGTAAAAAGTGTTGAGCTGACTTGTACTGCAAAAAGAAGTAATAAGTAGAAAAGTAGAAGTTGGAAATTCTCATCCTAAAAAAAAAAAAGCTTCAACAGCATCCCGAGCCCAATGTTATAATGAAAAGGATGTTTCATACGTTATGTGTCTTAAGTTATTGTCGATTCTTTTCAAATTCTCGTTTTAATCAATAATTTTTCTCAACAGAAAGAAAATTAAATATATAGTTTTTAAAATCACTGATATAGTTTTAATATGGCCCTAGGGGGTCGCCAGAATTTTTTAACTTGTAAAGGGGTCGCGTATTCAAAAAGGTTGAAAAACACTGCTCTAGATAATTAGTATTATGGGGAGTCGGGGTAATTAAAGTTAGTTTCTCACTCTTGTTCGGCCTCGAGTTAGTCATGCTAATGACAAAATTTATATACTTTTCCGAAAAAGAGGGATCGTTGATTCATGAATTCTGGCGTAGAGTTGAGCTCAACAACGAGACTATTTAAAGCAAGAAAACAAAATTTAATGATGACAAAAATATAAAAAACAAATTAATCGGTACCTAAAAAAATGTTATACTTTTTCTAATCCGAGAGACAGAGAGCTTACAACAACTTAGACATACTACCGTAATTGAATGTGTCAATGGCAGTCTTCTTATTCTGTGATTAAGGCGGAGAATTGTTGTGGCAGACGAGACTCAAGGTAGTGGATGAGAGTGAGGGAACTCTTGCAAACATGGCACCTTCGATTTACGGAGGACTGCGTGTCTCCTATGGCAATGTCATTTTTCTGTTAACTGCCTCGAATGGCGGGAAATCGCCCCTTTTATGTGTGTACGTGTTATATATCATTATTTACTTATTAATTATTGTTTTAGCTGTTTAATAAATGTTAGATTTTTACTGGTAACAACATAGCGACCCTACTTATACACCATAAACTTGAATTTTCAAAAGACTACAGATATATGACACACAAACACACACAAACACACAAAAACATTATGTATGCTACAAACTTTTGACTGGCCTATGTTATATAAGTGCTGAATGACTCAGGAGGGCAGCCTTCAGATTGGCACTAATTTTAACTATTATGATAAATAAAACTATGTTATGTATTGGAACATGGTGTATACCGCTTAAAATATTTAAATACTTCTCACCTGTTAATTTGTAATAAACATGCTATCACATGTTTACAAAAACCAGACAGCCCCTCTTTGCTCGTGAATTCTCCCAGTAATTGAGATGTATTAAAATAACAATATCTGAGATTTCAACACTAAAGCAACAACATGAACTTCAGAGTTGTTGTTAGAGTTTAATCCAGAAAATACGATGTGTCCAGCATCCAAAACGGTTTCACCTACAAGATAACGTTTCCCGTCGCCGATTAGACTAGTATTTGACATAAATTCAATGACTTGTTCACCATTTGGTCCTCGCAGTAGTCGTCGCCTACAGAAACTAGATCGGCTCAGGCACTAAACAAACACATGGTCGGTTCCTTACTAGGGTTGCCATCTTTTTAAAATCGCTGACCCGGACAGCAGGTGAGGTTTCTTCGAACAGAAGTTCCTAATGCATGCGTATATCATTTTGCAATGCGAAGAATAATTTGCAGTGCATGCCGGTTCTAAACCAGTTACAGTTAGAGAGTAAAGAGACTTGGATAGGAGTAACGCAAGTGATCTAGGTCTATTGGATATCGGAGGTGTATATGATTACAAATGAATTGTACAAGAAAAAAAAAAGAAAAAGGTCGACAGCTTCTTCACGATACCCCCGGACAGCGGGTCGGATGGTAACACTATTCCGTGCTCATTTCAATCGGTCCGAATCGTAAATGGACGAAAATATGAAATAAAATGGTACAACTTGCACAACCTGGAGAAATATTAACTAACCCCGGAGCCCGGAGATAACTCACTTAATCCCGGAGTCTCCGGGTCAAATCCAGACAGGTGGCAACCCTATTCCTTACCTGTTTCGACAGCCATCTTGGCTCAAAAACAGCGTCCACTGTCAGATTTGGCGCTTGCCAATTATGATAACTTAAAGAACGTCTATTCTGAAACAACGGCCTCACCCAAAAACGATTCCTGCGTTGCTTTAGTTTGACGAGTGCAGCAAGCAAAAAAAAATTGTCTAGCAAAAAGCCGAAACATCATATCAGCTCAGGAATTTTTAATCGTAAAACGATTAAAAATTCCTAAGTACACGGTATAGAGAATTATTTAAAAATATCAAGAAACTAGTAAAATTTACGTACAAAACTCAACTGGATGGCCAAGAACTATAATAAAAACAGATCACACTAACCTTCGTAACATTATTTTTATGAATCGAAATGCAACATTCACTGAATTAGTGATCGAATAGAATATAGTTACCAGTAAGGAAGTAATAAATAAAACTAGTATCGAACCGTAGAATCTTGGCTACACTTTATACGAGGTAAAAAATGATACTATTTTTTTAAAACAATAGTCACGTGGGATCTGTTTACATAGATAAAGGCGAAAACCTCTTCTCACAAAAACACTAATAAAAGAGCGATTGAAGAGGACCTAGAGCACACATGCCAGATACAACAACAGTGAAAGCCGGTTATTTATAATGATCACGCGAAGTTTCGAGTCTGCATTAAAAGCAATTAGGAAAATTGAAATTATCAGAAAAAGAGAAAATGCATTCAATTGTGACTGTGTATGGCGCAGTATAAAAGTCGCAGCAAGCAGTATAGTGTGGGGTTGCGTGTCAGCGAAGATATGAAAAATTTTTCTTTTAATTAACAAAGGGGATTAGTGAATGCAGCGAAATACTCACAAATTCATAAAGAAAATCTGCCACTATCATTAAAAGTTGACTATATCACTTAGTATTATTTTCTAGCAGAATAGTGCAGTTGCCACACTTCTAAAAGTACACTACCATCGACACTTGGCTGGCCCAACGTAATATGAAAACAAGAAAATGCCCATCTAGCAGCCCTGACCTTTCCCTATAGAGAATATATGATGTAAAATTAAAAACGTGTTAATAAGAGTCCTCAAGAAAATGTGCATGGTTTAATCAAAAATCAAGTAACTTTCGTGTGAAATCACTCGAAATGAGGGCCAGGCTCTTGTTGACACAAAGAGCGATCGTACAAAAGCTGTTGTATAAGTCAATTGTAAAAATACTTACTTATAATCAGAGTTTAGCGATGTAAAATAATCATAAGTATAAAAAATTTTTCTCGTCGATATTACTGAAGATATATTAAATAGACTTTTAAAATGACTTTTTGTCCGAAATGTTTTTGTCGAGATTATATAATACACCGACGAAATATATGGGTTCACGTGGTATACATTAATCAAACATGTTGTTTAGAAATTGTTTTTAACTTACATTTTGGAATTTGCCGACGTCGTTTGCTAGAAGATTTACCATTTGTCCCACATTCGATCTTTCCAGAGACGAAGGACTTAACCTAATTGCCTGCAAATGAAAGTTTTATATAGAATAAATATTTTTAGAAAATTATATCATCATTTAATAAAAAATACGAGAATAATATTTCGTAAAGTTCTCAAACAATCTAATTGATTAAATTTTCTAACAATATACACTTTTTTAAGTTATAAATCATTATCAACTTTCTTTGGTATTTTGCAGTTAAACATTTTGACTTTATTTTATAAACGTAATAATAATACTCAGGATATGATAATCCATAATACACTTTCAATAATAATTATTAATTAAATAAATAATTCCCATGACCTCACCGAGGGATATTGCTTTAAAAGAGTTGTCAGCAGCTGAACAGGGGTGTGTTATCCAAACTGCATCCTATAAAATGCCAATTACATGTGATTGATGTGGCAATACATTTCAAATAATTTCCTGTGAGATAAATCGCAATTTTAACAAATTGTGCAATTAAGAAGTACAACGATTGATTTGACTTCGATCACATCCATTTTCTAACATTTTATAAAATTTAATTATTATTTCAAACATTAATTATTTGTCGTTTAGTTATCAGTATATTGGAATGCACTCATTCGACCGAGTCTTAATAATCGATGCGGCTTGAAGAAGTGTCATACTACAACTGTTCACTTATGTGAAGGTGACTCATTTGAAAAAATTTCTAAATTGAACAGAAGTCAAGTAAAATGCTTTACATATTACTACGATGAACTTGGAGAAGCTCTAAATATAAGTTCAATGAATTATTTTTAAGACATATATATATATTTAACTCTTTCCGCACTGTGGGCACTAAAAAGTCCCTTTTAGCATTTTTAGCAAGCTCATTATGGGTTTGGACAGACCCACAATACGGTGGCTGGGTAGTGAGTGTCGGGGGCTTGACAGATCCAGATGGACTACCTCCAAATAATTTCTGGGTACTTTTCGACCCGTTCGGATACGAACACGAATTTCCCAGAGCGGTAGGTTACCACCTTCATCCCTCGGCCTCCAAGATGTATATAAACATATAGAAAAACAGACTGTATTAACATTTATACAGATTGTAAAGCTATGAATCAATGCTGTACTGAAATAATAAGAACAATTTCTCAAAATAATAAATTAAAACAAACTTCGAAAAACGCAACTAATTTTGTATTTGATTCTTTTTCTTTCTAAAACCAAACGTATATTTAAATTAGAAATGTAATTAAATAATACAATTCAATTCTATAGACTTATTTAAAACCATTTAATATTCGATAAGCGTAAGATAATTTTATTGCAGGTTTTTGCGTAAAAGGCAAAATTCAATTATGATAAATTGTAATATTTGTAATGTTTTTACTTCTATTAGAAGTTTTTGCTTACTTTTAATACAGTAATTAGTTGTATTATCTCTTCGGCTGAGCCGAATAAGTTTTCTATAGAGCCAAACCTTAGAATTCACGTATAAAAATATTGTAATATATGGACGAATAGTAATTTGCTAATACAGAATTATTGTAGCCACACCTAGAAAACCTTACTCATTATTAAACCTTATTCTTGATAATATAAATGATTGTATATGGTGTATATATATTGCGATTTCATTTCTCTACAATATATTTTAAAGTACTTTATAAAAAATATAATTACACTACTATCGATTGCTGAAAAATTCCTTTTGCAAGTAGTTTGCATTTGTCTTTACTTTCTTAGATTTATTTAATAAAAATACACGCATGTGAGAAGAATATAAATCGAATGCCTGTAACACATTATGTTTGCTACTCACCTTTCTATATATAAGAGTGCAGAAAGCTATCTTTAACTTCATTCCATATAATTCAGTTATGAACGCATTAATATCATATATACAGAAATATATCGCAAGTAGGATAAAAAATCCCGCAACTGTAGCATAGACGTTGTATTGATTCCGTTCCTCTCTGTTTTCAAAATAATTTATTATTAATCCTACGAAGTATGCTTGGCCGGCAACTAACGCTGTCATCTGCGAAAAAACATAAATTTCAGTTATTTTAATTATTTTAGAACATTATGTCGTTTAAATCAGTTGTCGTAATACCTGAATGAGTACAAGTAGAATAATTATTAAGTATTTCCAACCAACAAAACGTAATAAAGCTTTCAGTATGCTCGAATTCTTCTTCTGCAATTCCTGGTTCCATTCTCTGAAAAGAAATTGCAATGAAACCTAAAAATTGAATACAATATTTCAATCAACTGATTATTCTAGAACTTTTGTACAACTATGAATCAATGTAATGTTCTTAAAACAATTATTATTATTATTATTTTGAAAACACAGTACAAGGTTATTCACGTGAATATCTAATGCTAAATGAAATGTTAATATTCTGCTATTTGGAATGTATTTAGATAGTGCTGCGCTAAAAATCCGGAGCCACATTCTAAGCAGAAATGGAAAGTGCTTTTATATACGTTACTATATTACAGAAGGGGAATAATATGTTGATACAATATAACTATGTAATGTTTCATTCTAAGAGTGATACTAGAGTAAATTTCATACCTAAACAGATCACTAATTTGCAGCAGCATGTGTTGTTACAGAATGCACAGAAATGTCTGCAGGAAACAGGTGGCGAGTAATTTATTAAATTTTGTATGAATTACTAAAGTTTCCAATATTTTTGCGTTATCAACACCTGAACTCTTCTGTAAGTAAGTACGCATGAAACATGTACGAACGTGTACTATATTTAAAAACTTCCAAATTTGTAATTAACAGTTTTCTAATTCATACCTTTTCAATATGTACAGTAAAATATAATTTTCATAGCATTTTAATTGATATAAGTAAAAATTCGTTTTAAATACTAACTGTTGAATTTGATGAATTATTTTATGACTAGTTTGCTTATCTGCAAGTTGGAATAATACAAATTTCGCTAAATTTGTTATGATATTTTTGTTGCATGTGTGCATATGCGCATTTATCAATTTACTACCAGATAAGACGTCTTTGCCACGGTAAAAAACGACAAAGATTAAAATGAATACCATAATAAACAGTTAAGTTATTTATCCTACTAATCTTTTGTTTAAGATACTTGACTAACAAAATTGCAAATGTGATATGTTAATGTTATTTCTAATGTAATGTTCAACGTACTATACCATTCATATCCGAATATCAAATGGTAATCTGCAAACCAATCATGATTCGCGAAGAAATGACCAAATATTTAAATTCGGCCCCCTCGAAAACCTGACAAAACGTAATTTGTGCTTGTCGGTACCTTTTTCTTATGTAATTTTCCTATTCGAATGGAACCACACCACTGTTGCACAGACTAAATGGGGTGCTGCAGAAGGAAGTTTAAATTAATTTGATTAAAAGTAGTCGTTGACCTCTTTCTGGGAGAGAGTCAACAACAACTAATTATTACTGTTTTACTATTGTGAGATCCAAGGGTACAGGTTCGATACCTATATCACTTACAGGCATGCAATCGCAAGATTAGCTCACTAAACTTTTTCTAGGAGGGCTGTTAATGTTTAAGAACGATCTAGAGCAGGGGTGGACAACCTTTTCAAAAGGCGGGCCAAATTTCAAAAATAATATTTCCTGCCGGGTCACGCACCTAATTTTTTTTAAAATTAAAGTAACCAATCAAGCGTGCTACAACTTCAACCACATCGTCGCTTTCCAGTAGGTGAGATCGTGGTCAACCACGTGCCTGGTTTAATTTAAAATAACACAAAAAATAGATATATATTTTTTTTTTGAAGAAAATAAAACAACCGAGAATCAAACATATTTATTAGACAATTTAAAAATATTTAAAAGTGAAACATCAGAACTAAGTGCCTCAAAATTGATCTTCACTGATGTTGTCGCTACACGCAAACAGTTTTCCAAATGAACATCAGTAATTCGTGATCTCATTTGTAATTTTATTTATTTCATGCGACTAAAAAGCTGTTCACACTCATAAGTGTTTCCACATAGCGAAACCATCGACAGAGCATGTTCGTTAAACGCAGTTTGTTAAACCAAATACGTTTCATAGAACTCTTCCAAACCAACTTGATGGAATTTCTCCAACGTTTCAGCGTTTACTTACTTATAGAATCGATATGGTAGACAGGCTACTTGGTTAAAGTAGTTTGAACTGTAATTATAAATACAGTGGTACCTCGGTATATGTTTGCTTTAGAATACGTCCAATTCGGAATACGTCCTATTTGGATGAAACAAATTTTGTTCGGTATACGACTTTTGTTCGGTATACCACTTAATTCAATTATACGCGCCATCAATAAACAAGTATCACTATCTGTGTATTAGACCAGACTAGACGTTTGCGGTGCTACGGTTTATAACTTTCTTAAATTTTTTCTGATTTTAATTTGTAAGTAAAATTCTATTATTTTTATTAATCACGAATTGCAAGAAGGCAAATGAAAAGCAACGGAAAACTAAAAAAAATGACTAAAATCACAATGGAACTGAAAAACGAGTTGTTGAGAAATATGAAGGTGGCACGAGTGTTCGAGATTTAACTGTTGCATACCGTATTCTGAGAACGACAATATCGACAATCGTGAAAAATAAAGGCATTATTAAATCTGCTAACGTTGCGAAAGTAATTAAATCAATTTCTAAACAGAGATCGAAAACATTAGATCATGTTGAGAAATTGCTTTTGCTTGGATAACTGAAAAACAGTGTGCTGGCGACAACCTATCAGAAGCAATTATTTGCGAGAAAGCTGAAAAGATACATGTTGATCTCATGAAAAATCAACCAGGAACTAGCCAGGAAAGCGAGGTGTTTAAAGCCAGCCATTTTTTTTTTTACATGAGATTAATCATTTTTACATTACTTTTTATGGGAAAGATTGGTTTGGTATACGTCCTATTCGGTATACGTCCAAACCTCAGGAACGGATTAAGGTCGTATACCGAGGTTCCACTGTATGTTAAATATATATTTTAACGTCGATTGCAAAATTTGTCCAGATGCATTGGCGATAATAAAACGAAACTACAGAATAACATGGAACTTTGTCAAGCTGGACTGAAAGTATTTGTGAGTATGAGCCCGATAGCATTGCGAACTTCCCGAAAACGCCGAAGACCACAGAACATATATAGCTGAAGTTGAAGTCTCATATTAAATTTTATCAACACCTAGCGTTGGACAAAAAACTAAGTAACCGTAAGTGTCATATAGCGGAATATTTGAAATAGCTAAAATTCTATGAATTTTTCCAAAAATGAGAGATACAGTAGAGCGTCGATTTTCCGAATATCAATCATCCGAAACGTCAATCATCCGAAAGAATTCCAGTCGGCAAATTTAAATTTTCGCCAGTGCTGTGCCAGGCGCTTCAATCTTTGGCTATGCCTTGGTTTTACTCAAATATTTTACGTTTTTGATACTAAATTAACATCTGAAGTATAATTTTTTATTGTTTTTATACTTTTCAACTGATTTATTTGTTTGTACAAAATAAAAAAATAATTTTTAACGATACAATAGTCTTTGTTAGGCTTAACATCGACGAAAATTCAACGCGCAACGGAGAAAAATTCAACATCAGATACGTTAAACTATTTTTCGTACATAAATTAGTTATCCGAAATATCAGTTATACGAACAACCCCAGTCCCCAATTGATTCGGAAAATCGACGCTCTACTGTATTTCAATTTTTTCTTAGCTATAGTTTAAAAATACATGATACGAATAACTCATGACATAATGTTCTTTTGATGATATGTATAATAAAGTTAACATGTACGCTCATTTGACCTAGCTCCGCGGGCCGTAACATGACTCCCGGCGGGCCGCATGCGGCCCACAAGACTCACGTTGGTTACCCCTGATCTAGAGGATCAGTTTTAGATCTCGTCAGGATTCCTTGACACCAGTTAATCAGTTTTGTAATACGAGGATTATTAACACGCGTTTGATTCGTGAAGAGAATACGTTTGATTCAGAATAGTAAGAGACATGTCTTTACCACCAAAACAATAATTTAATGAAACAAATAAAGAAATCTATACAAAAATAGATTAACTAAAATACGTTTAGAGAGAGAGAGCTCACAATTTTTATGATAATCATACTACTTCTAGATGTTTTCTCTTTATCTTGACCTTTAGTTTCTGTCTACTTCATTTCATCTTGGGGTATCTTGGAAAGCACATTTCTATATATTTCTTCCCTACTCTTTCTAACTTTAAATCATTATTAAATCTGTTGGATACGACTATCGGCGTTGACCTTCAGGAGATCGTATGGAATACGTCTTCTCACTTTGAGATTCTTCGGCGTACTCTTAACTAAGGGCGTTGGCCTTATAGAGATCGCATGGAATACGTCTTCCTCCTAAGGAATCTGTTGGCGTACTCCTCGAATCATGCAAAACTCTTTCTATATCTGATGATTGTTCTCCAATCAGTGGGTAGTATTTTCTCCATGTGAACAGAGGAAAGGGGATCTATCGAGGGGTCGACAATTCCCAGGGTGCTGAGATTTTTAGTAGATAAGGGTAAAACAAAAGAATGTTTCAACGTCCGTTGAAGGAAGTGACTTTTTATCAGTTTCCCACGTTTAGAAAAACATTATTTTCTCACCAAAATCAAAAAATATTTTTCATTAAAAATTTAACTTTGAAATTAAATTATTAATTAGTCACAGGGGCTATTCAGATCTCACACTATTATTATTTGAAAAGAGGTCCGTGTTAGACAGGTTGTGATGATCCGCTCTTGTTTCAAGTTGTTTACCGTAACGCCCAAAAGACTTCACATAAGACTTGTTTAAATTGCTCTTAGATGTAAAGTATTCTTAGATGCAAAATTAGTATTAACTGGATGAATTTAAAAACTGGATAAATTTAAAAGTGTATCGATGGCGGGTACAGCCATCGATACACTTTGCGTTATAAATCTTAAATTTGAAAAAGTTTAGGAACCAGTTGCTTAACTTTATCGGCAACATTTGGTGGTGCCGTGCGTTACGATATTTTATTTAAAATACTTTTTATTTTATTTAATTATTACAAAAATGCAAAGAGCTTAATTTGGAGGGTAGAGACGGGTTTTATAAATAATTAAATGTTAATAATGAGTAAAATAGTTATTAGACTTAGTTCGACTCTACTGCAGATATAACATTGCCTTTTTTTTAGCTC